GTGACCGTGACGGTAGATGACGTGACAGTCCGAACATTTGACGAGCAGTAAATCGCGCGTTACCAGAGCAAGTAATTCCATTCCTGAAATTAAAAGTCTTCGTTTCGAGTCCGTTCCATCAGCTTACCGTGCCGTGTTCTATTATTTGTCGTAGTCACGCGGAATCTGTCCTACTTGATGATATGCTATGTCACACTCATGCGATGGAATTGTCGTAAAGTTTGTTTGCCTCAACAAGCGGAGCAGAGTTCTCTGCTGATTCGTAGAGTGGGTTCAATGTGTAATGGTTGACTTCTGAGAGATTCTGATAGGTTGGTCTATTCAAAGCTGTGGGGGATTCCAATGTGTGGTAAGACACTTCTGGGGCGCCATTACCAACAGGCTCGGGTGCATGGAATTGTGGTCCATCCGACTCTATCTCCGGGGGCTCCAGTACGTGGTAAAAAACAGAAGAGGCTTCTTTGCCAGAATGATTGGTCGCATAGCATTGTGGTCCATCTGATGATTCTATATTTGGGGGCTCCAGAACGTGGTAAAATACATCAGGGGTATCATAACCAATAGGCTCGAGTGCATGACATTCTTGACGTTTTGTTGATCTTCTTGGATGTGGAACTTCATTCAGTTGGGTGTAATCTACGTCTTCGTAATCTGGAGGCTCGTCACGTGACTGAGGCTGCTCATCAACTGTGTTTACGGTTGACACGTCTGTGGTAGCTCCAGTACTTTGGTCAATGATTATGTTTCCTCTAGAATAAAAGAATGAATTGGATGCATAAGATATAAGAGAGATTAATGGAAGGATTAATTTAGAGATGGTTTGKCTAGATCGATGAGTAAGGCAGTGCTTGTGTGCATATGGAAAACAGTGAGATACTAGCAAATGAACGAGTTAAGATAAATAACAAACAAATACACAGACAAAATGTTTTGACTTACTGCTCGTATGTCGGATTTACGACCATCCCGTCATCCACACTGTCATAAAGATCATAGATATT